TAATTTGATTTTCATTGAAAATTAATACCTTGTCGTGTTAATGCTAATATGAATTACTTGAAATATCTTTTGAATTGCTGACTCATCAAAACTTTTTGCTTGAAATATTTAATATTTTGAATTTTTTATCTTAAATGACAAAAGGAGGAAAAAGAGGATTTTTAGGTGAAAAGGAGGAGAAGGAGGACGCTTTTTGAGAAAAAGGAGGAAAAGGAGGACCCTTCTCATGCCAGGTTAAAGTACCGAATATGAAATTTTCTATTTATGGCATTTATCTTTCATTGTATACAAGATTAGACCAAAAGTACCGAAAGACAAAAATAAACAGCAAATATACATACTGAGCAAAAAACATTAAAGGTTACGTGTCTCGTAATCTTTTCCAAAGGTTTTATCTAGTTACACCTGCTGTTTAGTTTTTTAACTGAAGAAATCATATTGAAACTCGGGTATAAATTTGATAACATTGACTTTGAGTTTCTTTCATTTAAAATCATCAATACCAATACAAAACAATGCGATTTTTTCTATCACTGATTTTAACACTGATGTGTTTTTCATCGATTGAAGCACATTCAAAATTAACAATCGATGAATTTTTCAATGTAACTCATTTTCAATCAATAAATCTTTCTCCGAATGGTCGATATTTATTAGTAGCTAGTGAACATCCAGCATGGGATTCAAATTCTTACGAACAAAGTTTATGGTTATATGAAACTAGTGGACGACGAAAACAATTGATTACTAACCAATTATTTGCATCGTATATTCCGAAATGGTCACCAAGTGGAGATTATTTTGTTTATTTAATGAAGGATAAATTTGATTCAACAAATGATCGTCATCGTGTGATACGTTCAGTCAACAGTTCAGTAAAAAATGAACAACATATTTATCTTTACAATATTGCTTCTGATGAGATAATACCTGTCGGAATCGGTTATGAAAAACCATCGGCTCTTACATGGTCTGATGTCGATTCATCATTATACTTTGCTGCAGCATCATCTGAATCAACAGAAGACGTCGATCGTGAATATGAAGATGAATGGAAAGATGTTATTGAATATCGTCGACGAAAACCTAATGATGGAAGCATCATATATCATATTGATATAAGTAGAAAAAATCGACGAGTTACTTCCAAAATTCATCAGATCACACATCTCAACTTTATCGTTAGTGATTTATTATATACACTATCTGAGCATAAAATTATCTGCTCTTCTTTCTCGAACATAATTGAAAATTCACATGATCTAGAGATTTATTCTATAGATCTACTTAATCCTTCATCGGTAAAACAATTGACTAATAATGACGAATTTGAAATTAATTTAAGATTATCGAAGGATGGTAAACATTTGTTTTTTCGAACAGCTTCCTCTTTGACAGGTAAAACAACATCAAACAAAACACAAATCCGACTAAAATCAATCGATTTAACAAATGGACAAATTGATGAATGGGGAAAAGGTTTTCAAGGGAATGTTAACGATTATGCAATAAGACCGGAAGGTGGCGTTTTCATTTTGGGACAGTTAGGCACTAATACGAATGTTTATGTTCAACAATCATCATCGAAATATTTGACTTTGCAACGTGGTTGGAATGGAACTTATCGAGCCATCTCTACATCATCATCAAAACGATATTTTTCAGTTGCTTTTCTTCATTCAGCTTTCGAACGACCAGAAGAAGTTTATTTAATTGATCATATTGATGAACTTTCTTCAGCTAAACGAATTACCAATGAAAACCAATTCTTAACAAAAAAACATCTACCACGATCAAAAGTATACACATGGGTAAATAGTGATGATCATCGCATGGTCGAAGGCATTCTACATTATCCACCAGACAAATTCGAACAAAAAAATTTACCTCTTCTTGTTCTTATTCATGGTGGTTCCGCTGCCGCAAGTCTAAATTTATTTCCACCAATCTGGTATATGTTTCCTCATCTAGCCGCTGTAAACGGTTGGTTAGTACTAGAACCAAATTATCGAGGTTCAACAGGTTATGGTGATCAATTTGTTAGTGAAATCTATTCTACGTTTTTATCTCGACCAGGTAGAGACATTCTAGATGGCGTTGATCGTCTTGTTCAAGATGGAATTGCGGATCCGACTCGACTTAATGTCGGAGGTTATAGTTATGGAGGATATCTTACGAATTGGTTGATTACGCAAACAACACGTTTCAATGCGGCATTTTCAGGTGCTGGGCCATTAGATCACGTTTCTTTTTGGGGTACTACAAATATTCCTATCTATGCTAATACTTTAATTGGTGGATTTCCATGGGAAATACCAGATATCTATGCGAAGGAGTCGATTATTTATCATTTAGATAATGTACATACACCTACACTTATTTTCACTGGTGCTAATGATGTAGCAATTCCTGCTGATCAAAGTTTTATATTAGAACGTGGTTTAAAATATTTGGGAATCCCATCGAAATTATTAATTTTTCCCAATGAAGGTCACGACTTATTAAATAATCCATGGCATTCAAAAATACAAATTCGAGAACAACTCAAGTGGCTAGAAAGATATGGTCATGTGTCTTGGTTTAAAATGACAGGTTAAATAGAAGTCTGAATCGAATTTACAAAAGACCTATTCTAGAAAATAATTCAAACTATGTTTTACATTAAAGCTCATATAAGACATGCTTATAGTATTTAATTTTGGTTTGGGTGTGGGTGTGGGGTAGAAGTATATCTATAATTTATACCCACACCCACTCTAAAAAAAAGGAGTTCTACAGAACCTTTTAGAGGGTTCTGATACCTGGTAAAAGACAGATCCCCACTAAAAGGTTCTGACCAAAAGTGGGTTCCTTGAAAAACATCTGTTACTCAACAGATATTGGTTCTGTATCACACAACTAACTCAGTCTTTCGCAAACAGCGTGCTTCACTATAAAAAGACACACCGAAGGAAAGTCTGAAAGAGTTTGCGGATACACCCCAACATAAAAAAATACTTACGCTTTCAATTCAAACGTATAACTTACAAATGATGCACTATCACGACGAACCTAAATATAAAAAAGTATGAATGTTTGTTTCATTTCAACTAATCTAACGTACCGTTTGAATATTATCTCAAGATCCCATGTAGCCGGTGGTTGCATTATAATGTAATTATTGGCATTATAATGCAGTATTCTCCATTATAATGTATGTTTTTCCATTATAATGCATTATAATGGAAAATAATGGCAATAATTACATGATAATGCANATTAAGAATCTATACATAAATATTTATTTTATCTTCGAATATTTTCATTTCTTGATGATTACAACTCCAAAGCATTGAAAACTCCAAATAAAGTTGCTTTCTTTTGTACAAACTATATCAGTATTAATTCAAGACGAAAATATTTATTGTGACTAATACTAATGTTTATATTTATGGTACACTACAGTTAAATCATTTTCTTTGTAATAATCAGTTGTTTGGTTTCATTTATTATATTTTGTTCTAAGTGATTGCTTTTTCGAGCTTTTTGTTCAAAATTTATACATAAACATTTGTTGAAATTATGTTAAATGTTTTAATAAAACCTATTCAGCATACTAATAAGCTCGAACTTGCGTAGGACTCTTGTTTTTTCGAGAAGACTGAAATTCTCCTATATTCCTCCTTTTTTACAAAATAGCGTTAACATACCAGGACTTTAACAGATGACCTTTACTCAGTAGAACTGCGGGACTAGAGGGACTTTATTCCTAGATTCATTCATTCTATGGAAATCATTCATTTATGGAGGATTTATTACTTGCGATCATATTTCAATTAATTTACATTCACACTAGCACGACCACTGCTACACTGCTATTCAGAACCACAGAAATGCGACGTACAATATCTTTGGTCTTGATTCGAGTTTTTCCTGAAAGGATTAGCACAACGACTGGTTCTGAGTAGATCTCGACGAGCTCTATCTAATGGCCATCTTCAAAGTTTCTCAAAATGCTCCTGGGGAGGAAACATCAACCAATCCTGGGCAAAACGTAGGTCATTTTGCCAAAACCCGTCGCGATTCAATCGATGCTGGTTTCAACCGAGCCATTAGTGGTGCCAGATAGACCTTGTTGAGCAGTTTCCAACGAAGGCTTTGTTTTCTTTATCTGATTAACCAACAACTCCTGAAATCGCTAATTAGTGTCAGATTCACTACTTACAATCGAAAAAATATACAACGATTCCATGACGAGCACTTTACCAGAATCTTGACGTTTCTCTGAAGATGGAAGTTGGCAGACACTATGGAACCCGTATCCTATTCACTTCGTATGATATTTTAACAGTTTGGAAAACCCGTTCAATTGGGGGAGGGGGTTGTAACGATCAATATGACTCTGTTGAGTCTATATATCGCAATGACAAACTGGATGGAGGTGGAGTAGCTTACCGCTACTCTAGGTAATGATGTTTATTCGTTTATTCACATATCCAGAGTGTAACGACAAAACTAGAGAGTCGGCTATGCCCGTCGACATGATGGTGTATCGTGTCATCGGACATCTCTAGAGTGTAACAACTTCATACATAACATACGCATATATAGGAAAGAGATATTACACCAATGGAAAGAGAACAGAAGGAAGAGGAAGGAGAATCATCGAAGCGTGCAATCAATATCGGCATAGGGGTGAATTAAGTTTGTTCAAGAAAATGGCGATTTCTGTTTTCTTTTCGTGTCAGCACGTATCAGCGAAGGATAAAACATTTTTCTTTCCTCTCACATGGATATATGTGACAGATAAATAATGTTTTTTTCTTTCCATGCAATCGATCAATCAAATCTTTTTTCTGTCATGTTGATATCGATGACGTTCTTTGTCATTGTATTCATACAAGCTTTTCCCAATTAAGGGAGGTCAACCCCTCTACCCTTCGTCATATATAGCAATGCTATTTAGTTATTTTAAAATCTAACATTTAACTTTTTATTATAAATATTTAAAGAAATTAACAAAAAAGTACAAAAATAGATTACTATTAAATTTACTGCTGTAAATAATCTAAAAAGAAAAACACTTATTTCATAAAAAAAACACTTGCTGTTGAATTTCGTGTTCCAAATAATCTCAAAGTCGAAAAACAGTATTCTTTAAATAACCTCTTACTATTCAATTTCTTGTTGCGAATAATCTGAAAAATAAAATTTTAAAAAGTCAGTAAAATAAATAAATACCTACTATTCGATTTCTTGTGGTAAATAAACTAAAATAAAATAATAAAAATTCTTTCTATAAAAAACTACTCACTATTCAACTTAAACATGTATATAATCGAAAATTGAAATAAAAATTTATAAAAAGATATACTGTTGGATTCGTCGTTGTAAATAATCTAGAAAAAAATATATTTAAATAAATAAGCACTTACTTTCCAAAGCTGGCTTCCAGACGGGATTCGGGCATTTTCTCAGGGAAGGAAGTATCGAATGCGGGTTTTAAGATGATTCAATAGCGCGGATCGCATTCTACTTGGAACCAGTCGTTGTGCGAATCCTTTCAGGAAAAACTCGAATCGCAACTCAAGATATCCTACGTC